TGGCCTTGATGAAAATGAAACCTATGATTATGGTGACGATAATCCTCAATTATAAAAAAAAAACCACTTTGATGATAAGAAATCCAAGGACGTCAAAATGTGCCACTGCTTGATATTCATTATAATATTCCTGAACCAGATTTATTACTAACCTATCTGATTATATTATATTATATTATATTATATCTGATTATATTATATTATATCATATATATTATATTATATCTGATTATATTATATTATATCATATATATTATATAATATATGATTATATTATATTATATCATCATCATACTACTTCAAAATTAGTACAATAAGCTACTTTTCTCAACATCGTGTATTAATTTTCATTTAGGTACTCATTATAATGTCTTATAAAGATTTTTTCAGGTTTAAATAGAACCTGAGAGAGTAATCATAAAAAACTATCTTCAATTCATAACACTAACTATGCTAACAGCTATTATAGTCCAACAAACATTAATGTATCAGAAACAAAAAATCGCAGTTTATTTATTTATTTATTTTTTTTCAAGGAACTTTCAAATATTTATTGAGATTCAACTTTAAATCTATAATTTATCCCTATTGAGCAAATCCGCTACCTAGGACTCCACCTGGACAAACGTCTAACTTGGAATCCTCATACAAGACTGAAACGACAAGAAACCGCTCAACGTTTCCGATTACTTCAGCACTGACTAGACAAACGCTCTAAACTTCCAATTAATTACCAAAGACTCATATACATGACTATAATAAGGCCTATTTGGACTTACGGAGTTGAGCTATGGGGCTCCACTAAACCATCCAATTCCTTTCATATCTAATCCTTACAATCCAAAATCCTTTGTAAAATCCTACTTTGTTACAAATAAAACCATCCATAATGACCTTAATGTTTCTTATGTTTCAGATCTAGCCCAATCCAGATACCTATCCTTCCATAATAAACTTCAGAATCATCCCACCCTCTTGTTTCTAGCCTTGCTTCCACTTCAATTCCTGATAACCCTCCGAGGCGTCTGAAAAGAAGATGGCCCCATGATCTTCTAATCTAGACATATCATTAGAGTGCTACCATTGGGTAGTTTCTTAACAAGTGTTTTCATATGTTCAAATTTACTAAATGTATTTCTTTAATACATTTGTAAATATCATTAAGAAATTTAAAAAAAAAATCTATAATTATGAATCAGTTGATTATTTTTTAAATTTTATTTAGGTCTTATGTACTCAGCATGCAATCTGGAAACCAATAACAGAAACTAGGATTCCAGAAAGTGCATTTCCAGTTGGTAATACAGAAAATGGAGAAACACTTTATATGGGCAGATGGTTTGTCGATTTACGTCTAACTCCTGGAAAGGTAATGGAAAATAAATGATTTTATTTTAGAGTAATAATATTTAAGTTTTAAAAATAAAACATCAAAAGTTTAGATGTACAGTTTGAATAGATATATAAAGCCTTTTTACATATTGAAAGTTCAATTTCCTTTTTAAACAAAATTAGACAGTAATTTTGGATTAACCCTTTCTCAGCATTGTATTGTATCACTTTGCCTTCTATAGGTCACTGTTGTATCTTTTAGTCACTTTTTTCTTTTAAGTCAATTGGAATTTTTACAAAACGATAAGAAAATCCTATCAAACCATTAATTCATCTGTTTAAAATAATCATTGAGAAGGAGTTAGTCGAGGGTGCGGTCAAATAAATAATCATATTATATCAACGGTCAACCATCTCTACATCATTATAAAATAATCATTGTTGATTTATCAGAATTAAGAATACATTCCGTTATTTATATTTATTGATATTTAGTGTACCACCATCAAAAAGATAGTTGTCAAGTTGATGGAGGTCTATGCTAAAAAAAAAAAAAAAAAAAAATAATTTTTTTTTATGCCGTGGGAATACTATATCAGGATTAAAATTGTCAAATATTGCTTTCTGAATTCACTCAAACCTAAAATGAACAAGGTGTATAAATCAGGTATTTGGAACTCAGTACTGATCAGACAATCTTCCAAGAATACTGTCATCTTGGGGACTATGTACGTTCACCAGTTCAATTTGTGGCAATGATTTATTTTATTTATATATATATATATATATATATATATATATATATATATATATATATATATATATATATATATATATATATTTTTTTTTTTTACAGATTGAAGCAGGCTCAAAAATCTTACAAATGACCTACGCTGAAAGAGTATACCGTAGCACTCAATATGAAATCCTTATACTTAAGTCTGGTAATGATTTGTAGATATATTTTTTTTTGCTTTTAATAATTTTAAACTATAATAATTAATTATATTCAATAATATGATGAAATTAAGAACTTATTTAAAGTCTCTCTTTTTAAACTCTCTCCTTTCTCTTGTTTATTAATTAATATTACTACTGCGAGTGGAATTGTTTTAATTTTAAAGTTTTTATGAAGGAACTTAGATGTAGCTGTAACAATTATATGAATTTATGTATTGAAATAATATTTCTCTTAATATCTCTCATAGTATTATAATATCTCTCAAGTCTCATAATATTTTACCTTTGAGGTACAGTATTTTATATTATTTATAAATAATATTCTTATTTGTTTTAAGAATAAGAATTTATCATATAAGCTGATATGGAACTTCTAAAGTTCTAGAATTCTTAAGGTAATTAGAAAATTTTGAATCATGTGAAACCTCCATACAAATCAATAAGTTGTTTATTTTTAAGTTTCTACTTTTTATATATTTAATTATTATGATATTTTTTAATTGTATTCATTTATAATTTATGGAAATTAGAAGCTATGATTATTATTATAAAATAATAACTAAGTTGAAAGAATATATATTAATAAAAAAAAAGTATGTGTATTTATTTCCCTATTTTCCTCAACAAATAAAATTAATTTCTGGAATCAACTAATACTAATTGAATTGATATATTGGGAAGAAGTTCAATATTAACATTGAATCCTCCATACAATACTGAAACCCACTAGGGGGATCAAGGATTTAATTTTGAGGGAGAGCTTCAGCCTAAAAGTTTTTTTTTTTCATATACATACATATATATATATATATATATATATATATATATATATATATATATATATATATATATATATATATATATATATATATATAAAACGATAATTAATTTGAACAAAAATTAGTTATCTATATGAAATGATGTTTAAGTGGTTCGTCAAGTCCTATTAAATTAATTACTCGAACAAGAATACTTTAAGAGATAGTTTTTAATACTTTCTTCTGTAAAATATGATTATATTTTACGATTTTGGAGGGGGGGGGGGGGAGCTTCAGCCCAAAAGCCTACCCCTCTTTCCCTATAGATTTCCCCTGTGCTGAAACCAGTAGAATATTCTTATCCTTTTTGATTAGTTTGATATTTACAACACAAATGTTCTAAAATTCCAATTTATCATGTGATACTCAAACTTATACAACTATATGAAAACCACACCTAATCATTCCTGTGAACTCTTTTTGGAATTTCTTGTCCATCTATATTTACAGAGTTTTCCTCTGAATTTGTTAAAATCACTTGTTATTTACATAGGAACCTTTGCTCTAAAACATTCTCTGGAACTTCGCCTGTAAAATCGATCTCATCCACTATTTTCTAGCACTGGCCATCATCCATAAGCTTGATGCTTGGTTTCACTTCCTCTTTGTCAATTAGGTCTAATCATCAAGTCCAAAGTCTTTGTTTTATTTTTTTTTCCACTTGTGCTTAGTCAATAATTTCCTCAAAAATACTTTCTTCGTTATATTCATTTTATTGTAAATATGAGATGGAAACATGATCAAGTTTGATTGAATTGATAAGGCACTGAAAAATATTACATTGCTTATGTGAAAATTTTTGTACTTTTGAGTTTTATTTCTTTACTTATTTTCCATCATTTATTATTATCCGTGAGTTGGGAGTTGATAAGCTTAGTGAGTTAGGCACTGGGCCACTAAGGTATAAGGCAGCTAAAGTTGCCTCTAGGTCTCAGGATCGAATCCAACTGACAGGTAATTTTTCATCAGCCATTGAGGTTAATTAAATAATTATTTAAGAGCAAAAACCTAGCCCTTGATATTTCTCATCTCTCTGCACAACTGTTGGCATTTAAATAGTACTTCCTTACAAAGTATTGAATCCAAGACCCATGATCCACTAGGGGATTCAGGAATTTTGGAGGGCTTCAGCCAGAAAGCATTTTTTAAAAATATACAACAATATTTACTTTGGAACAAAAATAAAGAAACTAACTTTTATGAAATGGTGTTTAAGTGATTCTTGAAGTCCTATTAAGTGTTATTATATAAACAATAATACTTTTAGAGATAATTTTTTTCATAAAACATGGTGATATTTTACAATTTAGAGGGAAGGAGGAGGGCTTCAACACCTGCATGCCATTCCTGCTATTAAACCACAAATTAACCGTCAATTTGGTTTTGTTTTTTATACAGTTCATTTCGGGAGACAAACTCGGTGGTTTTGCGATTAAATTACACGCTAATTATGTTGGCTAGAAGTGTCATGGTCGGCTTTTGCAAATGAACCGCAAAATAGCTTCTCAAGACGTCGCTTATTCAGATGTTATGGTACTTGTCATGCTTATTAAACCGTGATGCTCGTCATGAATACATAACTGTCTTTATGTAAATGTTTTCGCATTTTTTTTTAAATTATAGTGCTTTCTATATATATAAATAACTAAAATAAAAAAAATATTAGTGTAAATATATATTTTAAAAAATCAGTATTTATTTAATGAAACTGATTATTCTTGATAATTATATTGATATAGGCTACTTTATCGAGTTGTTTCAGCGATAAAGTATTCGCATACTGAATATTCATAATAAGTTGGGAGTCAGTTGCGAATAGTAATCAGCAAATGTTAGGGTCATGACGCGAAATATTTTGATTAGTTAAATCATTCGTGGGATCGCATGATTATGATAGGTAATATAAGCCTGCTGGGCCGACGAATGCTTTCACTGAGGCCGGGAGATGGGTTGCTCGTTCGTCTTTGGTTCGTTGCTGGTGATCTCCCTGGTGTCAGTGGGGAGCTGCTATGTCAAAGTTCAGTTCACGAAGAGGGGAGGAGAGTACCTTCTGCAGACCCCGAGGTATCCCTTCAGTGCACCGCGGTTCACCAACATCGTATGGAGGCTGAAGGCACCCGAGGATCAAAAAATCGTCTTGACATGTGATGATGTTCGACTATTGAAGGTATACTTAACACTTTTTAATAGATTGTATTTATATTTCTGCATCATTAAGAAAAGGAGTGAAATAACTTTATGAGGTAAATATGCTTACAAATATTCGAATCGACTAATAATGAACTCTAGCTGTGCTCAGCAGTTTCGTCCTTACGAAATTTGGATTACATGTAGCCCAGTAAATGAGTGCTCAAAAAGGGCAATAGAAAGAACACAATTTTTGACTTTACTACTAGCCCTAGTTAGGGGGTAAACATGCTAAAAGACCTCATCGTTAAAACTAGAGAGAGAGGTGTTGTTAGGGAGCATAACCCATATTTATCGTTACATGAAAATTTCTTTCTCTTCTTCTTCTTCAAAGGCACGACAGATGGACTATGTGGTCCTTACCCTGCTCCAACGCTCTTGATCAGGCTTCTCAACTCACTCTGGAAGGGTGGAAGACAAGAATAGAGCTTTTTGGCTCTCCAGTCATTGCAAATTCTTAGGAGATGGCCTTGATATATCAACCGTAGTAATTTTACGAATTCTGAGACTATTAGTACTCCATAGATATTATAAAGTTCACGTTTATTTTTTATTTTTCTCCATTCTCTTTGATTGGACCCAGCACACGTCTTAACTATTTCTGCTCGAAAATGTCCAAAAATTTAGTGCAGTAAAATAACGAAAAACATCTGAAAATTTTTAAAATTTACAACTAAAATTGATAACTGCACTAAGTTTTAAAAAATTGAAGATATTGGTACTGGTGAGGGTGGGGAGCCTTTTTCCGGCAAGTGAACCTATTGGTCCTTTTATCCAACTCCGAAAGTAAAACTAATCTTTATCACCTCCATCTCTGCCTCAAACCTTTTCATTCTTATAACGAAGTTCAAAAAAGATAACCTTCTGATGGAGGAAGCTTTCTGTTCTAAGATTCTGTCCGAGCACAGAAGCCTTCATTTAGGCGATGCAAATCGGTCGCATTATATTATATTGTGACAATTTCTGGTACTTGTCGGTACAGATGGCAGAGTTCATCATCAACTAAATCACGTATCTTTAGATGACGTTTAAGTCTTCAGTGGCTTGTTAGTATTCCAATAATTATCGGATTTTCTTTCTATTTAGGCTTAGCAGCCACTTAGTTCTAGAAGAGGAAGGATTTTTAATTAGCTGTTTAGCTTGTCTGAGCCCATTGCATTCTTTCCACTCCGTACCTTTTTTTTTCCTTGTCCGATCAAGGACTTCTTTCCGCTGGTTCTTTAATATTCACATCGCCTGTTCTGGTTTCGGTCTCATAATAAAGGATTCAGTTCCATTTATAGCGAGGATGTCAGCTTTCTCATTGCTTTTAACTCCCTTAGGACAAGGGATCCACCCATACTAACCCACTCTCTTGGTGCAAGACAATGCCTGTCTATACTCTTGAACCAGTTTGGAGGTCATTTTGAGAGACTCTAGTAAGAGTTTGAAGTCCTGAGATATCAGAAAAGAAAGATAGTAATCTCAGCCCTCTCACATTGATTACTTCCAAACATGTGGCTGCAAATAGAATGGCAAACATTTCTGCTTGAAACACTATAGAATTTTTGCCTAATGGAATGCTTTATTCTGTGCTTAAAATCTCTATTTAGACTCCCGTACCCGTTAAGCTAGTCGTGTCTTTCCTCGATCCGTCAGTGAAATATGGTGGATAGTCTGTTTGAGTATTTACTCAGCTCAGCCCAGGTTTAATCTCTTAGATTAAGGTACAAGTAACTAACCCTCGAATCAGAGCAGTGTGAGATGCAACCATAAAATAGGTCTTTTTTTTACCATTTTGTCTGCTTCTAAGTGATGTGTAGGTATTCACACTTTTTACAACTGTCCTTCAGTCTTCGTTCTTAAAAATAACACAACCGTTTCCTACAGTGTCCATAGGTGTAGCGGTACCAAGAACAGGAAATTAAAACTTCCAACGATTTAGTAGATACACTCCTGTAATGCCAATGGAGCCTATTATTTATTTAAGACAGAACGATCGCAATTAATGAATATGAATATACAATTAGAGCATGTATATATGGGAAACGTTCTATATATTTTTTCTCTCCTTTTCCTCGCCTTTTAAGCTATACGCGTTTTTACCGGGCCAGGGGGTGAGGGTAGGATATTAATGCCACAGTTAAAAGCTCGGCATCGGAACGCGAACTCGTAATTATTTTATTAAATTATCTCCTAACGGGTTCTCGGTAAGGCGGTGCTGTGCTCGACCATCCCACCCCCATATATACGCAAATATTGTGTTTATTACTAGAATGTTTAGTTTCCATGGTAAAAGTGTAAAACCTAACAAATTGACCTTCTGGGTACCTTTAATTTCTCGCCCATTACTCATGAATGGGGAGTACTTTAATGCTTAATTAAGTTTTATCACTTATGGTTAATAAACGCATCATATGTTAAAAAAAGTTACTGTATACAAGCTGTCAGCGGCTGGTACAAGAACTTTAAAGATAAAGCAAATAAAAAAAAAAAAAAAGTTTTCAGGAAGGATTGTGATCGGCTCCGTGACTAATCACCTCTTATGCCATGACCTATCCCAGGCTCACTTTTAGTGACAATGTCTATTAGAATAATAGCTATTTATAACCCAAGAATAATTATGGCCTTATATTTACAAAAATATATTAATAATTAATACTGATGCGTAAAAAGTAGTAATTTATAAACTTTTTAAAAAATACATAATTAAGGATACAATGACGTCGAATAGCGTGAATGTTTTATTTGCGAAATCTCGTCGTTTCTGGAATATGGAGGAGATCGCTCTTGGGATACAACTAAACCTATTCTAACCACAATAGAAAGGTCGAGATTCATTCCGTGGGTCTGCGATGAAATACATTTCAATCCGGCCATGGCGGATTTGAACCATTAAAATTGACAACGTTAAAACAGACAACGCTCCAAAATGCTCATAGATCAAACGCTCTGCCACCAGCTAATAATAATTGAAATCATTACATTGTGCTGAATAAAACTATGTAAAATGTTGTATTTAGTAACAAAAGATACCCTAAATAGTAAGTATGTGCCGACTTGTAAGTATCCAAGAAGTATGCCAAAGCGATATTGAGATGGTGGTATTAAGATTGATCTAGTGGGGTTGAAGTTGGACGATGGTTGGTGGATGGAAGTGTGTTGACAATGGTAAGTGGTATCGGCATCGAACTTTCCGGTTCGCTAAGCCTTTTATTATTATAAAATAGGATAGTTATACTATCTTTCTTAAGCACATAACTCAAAATAAATACTAATTTTTTATCAACCTAGCTGTGAGCCAACAATTCGATCACAGAGGATGTATCCAGACCATGAAGATCTTTAGCTTTTCATATAAATACTTTCAAAGCTTACCCTTTTAATTATGTTAAAACCAAACCTAGTCAGACTTTAAATAATTCCCTTAACGTTTGTATTACATTTTACAAAAATGACACAAAATCACGCGATTTTTAAGAATTATACATTTTACGAAAATCTTCCAGACTTCACATTAAACTGATTTTTTTCACTTAAAACTTACAAGTAATTCAACGTGTGGAAAAATCTCGTCCTGATCACCAACAACTTATGCGACGGCCTTGACATCCGTTATTATTATTTTCGTTTTGGATTGCAACAACTTCAGATTTTCCTGGTCATTTAAATGCAATAACTTCCTTATATATATTCATAACTAAGATCATTACTATTCAATAGCATGCTTCTTTTCGCTTAAAATAGAACAATTACTTCATGTACGAATCGATAATTGTAAAAAGATAATAAATAAAACTGTACTATTAAATAACGGCGATAATAATAAATAAGGCTTAGAAAATCTAGAGATTCAATTCTAATAAAACTAGGGTGAACGTACCAGTTATGGACAGGGATCCAATGATGGACAGGTTGTACTTTAAATGCATATAGTAAGATTCCAAGTTCATTTAAAGGTTCTGGTTTTCTCTAGATTGAGGAACAATGCCCTTTATTGACAATTATATAAATAAAGTTCCCTTCCAAAAAAATTTAAAATACCTGTCATTGTTGTTTCTATAGTGCTCTGGAGATCAGTTTGTTTCATACATTCCTACTAATAGTTTTGCTAAGAGTAAGTTGAACATTTATTTTATCTTTATAGTTAAATAAAGATGTTAGAATTTTTCTGATGCATGTCCATTACTGGTACAAAACCCCTGTCCATTAATTGAACAATTTAATTTCGGGATGTCCATCAGTAATGCAAAAAGGTGTTTTTTTTTTTAATGGAGACTATACCTGCATAATTGAATGTTTTTTAAATTTCAAATTGTTAAATAGAAAAAGGAGACAATAGAGATTCTAAATATCAAACGGAGAAGTTTATAACTATAATAATTACGGCTTGCATAAGCCAAAAAAGACAAAAGAACACAGAGGTCGATCGCCCTCTAATCAGAATGAAAAGTCTACGCCTATGGTGTCTTATTGCTATATTATTAAACTGGGAGTATACGTTCCAGTGAGAATTACCATGACTGGTAAAGTAAATATTACATGAAGCTTAAAGAATTGTGTATGTTCAATGTTGATGATATTACATTGTATATAGTGAATAAACATGTTTCGCTTATACGTCGAGTGCATTAGGGAGAATGCAAGCTATCTAATGTCTAAGTTCTCACTGATTTGATGTAATTTAATTATAAACAATCTAATTTATATTTTCTTTTGGTTCAGAGAGTCGGATGCTCAGAAGGATCTTTGACAGTCTGGGACGGAGCGACGCAGCACACCATCTGCAACGTCTTGTCGCATTACCACAAAGAATCTAAGCAGAACTTGATGTACGTCCAATTCCGCTCTGGATGGTTTGGTATTGGCCAAGCAAGGTGCAGAGCAAAGAGCATCAAAATAGACAGCTTGGACTTGACCAACTTTCTAGTCGAAGATTCGAAGGAACAAGGCAAAGGTGATGGTGCCAGGCAAACCACTTGCGCATGCGGCTGGACAAATAGAGTATGTTTAAGAAATTCTTATATTATTATTTATTTATTTTTGTTTTATTTAGGACTGACAGAAATGTTGTTATATTTATATATACTAAATAAATAGGAACACATTTGTATCCAGCATAAAACGTGTTACTGCGGGAGTTCCACTGGGAAGTTTACTGGGACCAATACTTTTCAATTTGTTTCTCAACAAACTTGCCACGCCATAACCAAATTTTATTGGTCACGTTTGCTGATGATACTAGATTCCTTGCATCTCACAAAAACCTGTAATCGCTCATTCATCATTCAGAACCAACCATCTCGATGGCATTTTTAATTGGGATACTTGAAGGAGAGTAAATATGAATGAAACGAAAAGTTTAGTGATTATCTTAATCATGGTTTGTGTCCACAAGTATACTTTAATAATTATTCCTGTATCTGGAGAAGTGCGTTATTTGAAACTTAACCTGGAAAAGAGACTGGATGGATAATAAATACTACAGTGAAAAGAAAACAAGTGAATAAACGATTGGAATTATTATCCAAGTTACTTGACAGACACATCAAATTATTCCTAAGCAACAAATCTTCCATTTTTTGTGTGTATTTTGTTCTCTCCTTCCTTGTCTTTTAGGCTACACGGGACTTCCCCCGGGATGGGGCAACGCGCGGTGCTGTGCTCACGCTCTAGCCCGCTCGGCCACCCCGTCCCCCACAAACCTTCCATCTACAAATTACTTATAAAACCTTTATGGTTTTATGGGATAGAGATATGGCGTTAACTTTTAACTATGGCGAAAACTTTTAACATCCTCAAAATATAATCTTTTCAATCATGAATATTGTGAAAAATAGCGGACACACCATTCCATGTGTCAAATGACTTGCTACACAAGGACTTTTTTTTTGTCCTCTCCTTCCTAGTCTTTTAGACTATACGTGATTTTTACTGAGTCAGGGAGATGGCGGGGAGTTCCAGAATTAAAAGCTCCTCTCCTAGCACTGGGATGCGAACACCATTATTATTTTATCATAATCTTTAGTTTATCAGGTTGCCGGGCAACGCTTGTTTTGTAAGGACTTGGGCATCCAAATAGTATCAGATACTACCAACAATTTTATTTCATGACTTACAACATGAATCAATTACCCCAATGCTTAGTTATGAACTCCTCCATCCCACTTTGATGGCTTTTAAGGTGGTGGCCAAGTGATGTTTTAGAATTACCAGCTCTACCCGGTAATGTGTACTCATTTACTTATTGCAAAATACTTTGCAGGTGGCAAATTTATACATATATATTTTTTTATATTATAGATGGTGAATGGAATATAAAGGTATGTTTGAAAATGGCCAAAAAGTCTAAACATATAAATAAATAAAGGTTTTTTATTGTTAATAAAGAATTTTGTTTTTGTTTAGGGATAGAAAAAATGGTCATAGTTGTTAATAATTAGTAACTTAAATAAAAAAAAATTAATCCATATCTCGATTTCATATAGGAAAGAATTGTAGGTGGAAAGGAGACAGGAATCAATGAGTTTCCATTTGTGGTAAGTCTCATTCTTTTAAAAGATAAGCAGAGATTCTGTGGAGGAGCTATAATAACACCTTATCATGTACTAACGGCAGCACATTGCATTTATCGACTCAACGAAGCGCTTGGTGTGGTCGTTGGAGAACATGATTTCACAAGGGGTAAGTAAAGTCCTTTTAATGTTTTCAATGATTCTGTTAAAAAAAAAAAGATTCCCCAAATTCATAAATAAAAATAAAAATCTGAACATAAATTGATAAAAATAAAATGACAACTGAAATATAGAATGACTCCCACTTCTTATTTCTATTCAGGAGCAAAATATTTTTGGTCAAGCAGGAGAACTGCTTAATCTGGATTATACTAAACAAAAAAACTCTAATATTAATTAACAGGTATGCTTGGTAAAAATGAAAATAGATTAAATAATCATTTATTTGCTATCTTCTAAATTTTACTTTGCAATTGACTGTAAATTTGTACAGTAAATTTGTAAATATAAATATATTTATTATTAACTGGCATTAATGCATTAACGAACATTAATGCTTTTAGAAATAAATTTCTTTTATTTTTTCTTAATAGGAGCTTACATATAGTAGCTCTATATGCATTATAATTTAAAAAGAGTACATATTGTGTTGTTTAAGAATTCATCATAGATAACACACAAAATCAAATATGTACCAATGAAAAAAATAAATATTTTTTCAACTTTGGAGGGTTAAATCCCGAAAGTCTCTTATTCCATAAATATGCCAGTGTATGTATAATTCGTCCAGCGGATAGATTGTCATATTCCATACAATAATTTGTTCGCGTTTTGAGTGCACATTGTTTGAAAAACACTCACGGTATCTCATGGAATAATTTGAGCAATCAAACATCAAAATTGGTCCAGGTGTTTGTTTAAAAAATCGTTACGTACCTTTTAGCAAACCAACCAAAACACATTAACGTTCTTGTGGCTTTAAATTAATTTGATAAAAATGAGTCTTCCAACAAAGAGGCAAAAATATGGATTTACTTTTAATATATATGAAAATTTCATTCAAGGATTCATAAATCGGATTTACACTTTATTTAAACTATAATTTTGTTCTTCATCTCGAATATCTTCTTGATGATTAATTACTAATAATGCCAGTACATGAAATTATCTTCACATAGTATTTAAATTATGTTTTATAACATAAATAAATAATCAAAAATCCTTTTTGGCCGTTAATTTTATGACATTTATATATATTTTTTTTCATTCTCCCAAGAATGGGTCTAAATGGAAATAAATTTCTGAGAAGTATTTGTATTCACTCACTTTATTTAATATCATTTACACAAAACTAAATATGATACATGATAAATCGGTTTAAGACTGTTATATATTATATTCGAAAGGACAGAGATGAGCCCCATTACCCAGATTGACAGCCAAAAAATAAAGATTAAAATTAGAGCATTGATCGAAACACCTTAAAATGTCCCCGAGGTAAAAGGAAATTTAACAGAATATATTTATGACAAACCTTATATGAAAATGGAGTTATGAAAAAAAATACAAATACATAATAATCTTTTTAATATTATAATATTAATGTTAATAATAATGCTTATGCATATATATTTACAGATGATGAGACTAATGCCACCCAGACCATACGCGTAAGACATATTATTCAACATGAGAACTATGTTCATAGGAACATGGTCAATGACGTAGCGATATTGGTATTAGCTAAAAAAATTGATTTTAATAAACTAGTTGGCCCTGTATGTATGCCGTCGATGAAATATGATCTCCTTAACAAACATCTGAAAGTCTTAGGTAAGATCAAGTCGGTTGTACTAATTAATATATTTTATTGATGAAGCAAATACTAAATATAAACAATTTTCAGTTTAAAATAAAAATTTGAAAATTACCCATTTAACCCAAATAGTTTTAGCATTACTTTAATCTACAATTGTATAAAATATATAAGAATTTTTTTTTTATCACTGGTTGAATCATTAAATAAAGACATATACAAGCAGAGTACTTTACTCACTGAACTATTCCGTTCTTCATAATAATATTATATCTCTTCCATTTCTCAGATAAATAAGTTTATTGTAAGTTAATTCTACAGGTTAGAATATTTTTTTATTGATAGCAGTATAAAATCATTATACCTTTTTGATTATCTCATTGTTATTCAGAGGCATCCATTCCACTTAAGATTGATAGATCTTATTCCCCTTCCAAGAAACTTTATCGCTCTACTCTTTTCAAAAATATTACAATCAAAATTAGAATGAGAAAAAATTTACATCTTGTATTAATTATGGTCTGTTCCATGATTTTACCATTGTTTCCTGGTTTGAAAGTTCCTCCAAATTGAAACTCCACAAAAATATGGTTTCTTCCAAATATTTATAACCCGGCCAAAATGTGCTCTTCTCAAAAATTTTGATGGCACAACGTGCACTATATAGCCTCTTTCTGGGCATCCCTTCTATTATTAATCAATAAATTCCTTATTGATTATTGATTATAGACTGACTCCAATGATATATTAAATAACTATGCCATTTCTTCCCCTGAAAATATTTGCTAAGCTTTTTTGGGAACTACATTATTTCCACAAATCTCTTATTTTTGTATTTTAATAACTCCGATTCACATATTCTATCAAAAACCCAACACAAAGAGGAAAGAATGGCCAAGCACTTTGGGGCGTGGTTACCAGAGAGCCCGCTTCTGAACATTGTGGGTTTGATTCCCAGCTGGGTCGGTTAAGTTTCATTTCTTGGCAGCTCTGGAAAATGAATCTTGGCGTTTCTACTCTGGTAAGTACGCAGCAGCAACCTCAAGTTAGCTGCCAGGGATTGGAAAAAAGATGATGTGGACTAGTTTCCTCCCCCCACAATACCAGTACCAATACCTAAAATTTCTGACATGTAGAAAGCCTTCATGATGTTGGAGCAAAGGTTCCGGAGTGTCTTGTTCAGGAATATGAGGGATTTGATTCCCTCCTTGTTCAGTTAATATTGAATTCCACCAAATGATTATTGATACTCATAATTTGGATAGTACAGGACAGAAATTTCTAAGTAGCCACAGAAATATCAATATTCTTGTTTTTCTTTCTCTAGGAAGCTTCGATTTATATTTTTATTTTTAAAGTTAAGGCAATTAAACTTCCATTTTTCTTTCATCTTTTTTAATCACATCTGACATTTCGGGATAATTTTCCTATCTTCAGTGATTCCTTTATATTTACTAGACTTTGTAATGTGGCACCAATTGCCAAAGATTATAATAACTGTCATATCTATTTTTCTATAATACTTTTTTTGGTGTTACACATTCATTCTCTATATATAACTATACCAACCAACACTTGGTTGTTTCAAGTTCCACTATTGTACAATAATGGAACTTGAAATAACACCGAATAAAGTATTATAGAAAAAATGACAGTTACTGTAATTTTTGACAATTGGTGCCATATTACAAAGTCAAGTAAATATAAAGGAATCTCTGAAGATGGGAAAATTATCCCGAAACGTCAGATGTGGTTAAAAAAGATGGAAGAAAAAGTGGAAGTTTAATTGCCGTAATCTTAAAGAAATAGCAAATGTAGTTATACTGGTCTTCTCCCTCCTCTCTGATGTACCAGAAACAGTACTACATATGATAAATATTTCCTAATCCATTCAGTCTTGTGGAATTCTTTCCCATTTAACATTCATAATGTTAACTCGTAATGTAAAGACCTTTCCAACATTCCCTCTCCTTCAAATGAAATGAAAATCATATTTTAAGCATTTTTAGTTCCTTTTAACTTAATTTACTTAAAGAAACATCAATCTTTTTAGAGGATTTAGTACTTTATTTGATATTTGATAGTCCTAAACAAAAATATTTTATCATTTAATTTCAAATTGATTAAACTAGTCATAAGAATATTGAACTGTCATTAAGTCATGAAACATTTTTTAATATAATTTACTTATAGGATGGGGTTTGACCGTTGACGGAGGTAACTTTTCCGACACTTTACAGCAAGTAGATTTGACAGTAATTGAATTGAAAACGTGCGCATCAAAATATGAAAATTACATTGATCTAGAGAATCCTAAACAGATTTGCACTTTTGGAGAAAATAAAGACTCATGTCAGGTAAGTCAGAGTAATATACCCGAGAAACTTGAATACAATTAATTCTTTCATTTCTACTGTCAGTATTTAATTCATTACTAAAATATTTGTGGTAGGATTATCATTCAGTGCTATGATGTTATCTCACCAACAAGTATTTTTCCCCTAAAAAATTCTTTTTTTTTTTATTTCTAAGACAAATCATGACTATAAACCTCTTTGAAGAGATAAATCAAACAAATTGATTACTTCTATAATGGTATTGGAGAATTTAAATACTTAATACAAAAGAAAATAATTGGATAAACATTAGTCATTCATCAAATTGATTGACCCTTGCAGACAGTTTAAAATTAAAATTCTTCTTGAATTATTAATAATTTCATTAGGATTAATTAATTATGGCTAAGTTACTTTGCCTAGCGCAAGAAATTTACTTCACGCCTTCTATCTAAGCAAAACAAGCTACATCTTTATAAAACATTAATCTGCACAGTCTGAAACATGGACAACAACTAAAATAATTGAGTTATTGAAGGAAGTTAGTTGACTGTTCTACATATCATGGGTGATAAATATTCAGGACGCAGTCTTTATTTAAAAAAAAAATTTAAGCACTGAGGGTGTTCAAGTACTCGCTGTACTTGAACACCCTCAGTGCTCAAACCCCCCCCCTGAAGATGACCCACATGTTTGGGTTGAAACATTGGCATAAATAAAAAATTAAAATTTAAAAAAAAAAAAATACTGTGTCCTGAATATTTATCACTCATAAAATAATTGACCAAGACCTCTTAGTCTTTGAGAGAAAAATGCTTTGGAGAATATTTTGAGGAGTACAGATCGATGGAAATTAGAAAAGACGGACAAACATGAAAATTTACTCTATTTTTAATGAGTAAGATGTCATTCTGAGAATGAAGCTTGGAAGACTGAGGTGGGCTGGCCCCGTGGCTAGGAAGGAGAATGAATCTCTAAGATGATTCTGACAGAACTTCTCCATGGCTCTAGAAGAAGGGGAGACACCAAAACTAAGATGGTCAGATGGTGTGACAAGAGATTCAAGGGATGTTCTGGGAGTCAGGAGTTGGATGATGGTCGCACAGAACAGAGATGACTTGAGGAAGCTGGTGGTGGAGATCAAGACTCGTCACCGAATTGTAGCACTGTGATAGTTAGTCAGTTAAATATGTGCAAATAGCTGTATTCACTCATTTTACCTCATTACATAATATCATTCCCACAAAACTGAGTATGGAATACATTGCTTCTGAAGTATTAGCAAATGTTTACTATTTAATTATTATAATTTATTACTATTATGAAATCAAATTTGATTCTAATGTATACTCATTAAAACTTTTTTTAAAACAGGGAGATTCTGGCGGGCCATTGATTTATCATGATCCCCAGATAAGCGCTTCTGTACTGGCTGCAGTTGTGTCATATGGTAAAGAATGTGCTTCCGAGTTCCCTGCTGTTAACACAGATGTTTATGCTTACACGAATTGGATTGAAAATCACATTAATAGTAAGTAATTTATAACTTTTAATAATTAATTTAAAACCAAAATTATCATTCCTATGAATATTTACAAATACATAAGAGCTTTATTTCAAGACAGAAAAATATAAAATGCAGATTTAAACAATAACAGAAAAAAGTTTATGATTAATATGTACTACTTAGATTATGGAATGAAAAAATTCTTACTGAAATCATCTGACAATGACAAAGCGATGTTATAATTAATTAATCTTTGATTAACGAAGAGGGCCACACTTTATTTTCACAAAAAAAAAAAAAAAAATATATATATATATGTGTGTGTGTCTGTTTGACAAAATAATTTTTAAATACATTTTATGATTTGGTCCTTTTTGTTACAAGGATAAGAATGCATACATAATATGTCATACTAACCATAGAAAAAAATATTAAGAGATTTGAGAGGAAAATCCTTGGGTCGTTTGTGGAAGCGATCAAAGTACTGATGCAAGGAAGAGAAGGACCAATAAAGAACTGCTTACAGACACTGGTCAATCAATATATGAAGGCAAGCAGGTTCAGATAGATAGGCCATGGAGCTCAGAGCGATCCATCAGGAAGCCTCTACACAATAATGAGGCAAAAGACCATGTGGAAGGACTAAAACCAGATGGATCTAATCGACAAAGATGCTGCAGAGTTGTATGCAGATAACTGTAAAGCAATAACCCTAGAGGAAGAAGATTGGTTAAGGTGGCAGAAAGATCTATAAGTTCTGTAAAGCCAACAGAAATAAAAACTAAGGTGTGTTCTTTAGACAACAAGATAGAAGTGAAAACATCAACAAGGCGAGATTAATAATATGGAATATATATTATAAATAATAGCTCATTTTAAAGAGGAGGAAATGCTGAAAATTTCCCTCACTTACAGTATGCAGGTCTGATGTTTGGTTTCTGAGGTAATATAATCCGTACCTTTCATAAAACTCGTTATCATTTGGATTTAGGCAATATCTTTTCCCCTCTCCTATGCTCTAAGACAGTGTTGGGGTAAGATAAAATTTTGAATAAAGCTCAATACAAAGAAAATGAAATGCTGTACATTTCCCTCACTTACAGTTTACAGGTCCAATGTTTAATATCTGAAATATTTTAATCCATATGTTCAACTAAACTTGTTTGGTTTTCGACACTATTTTTCCTTTTCGCCTTCCTAACATGGAGTCGCGTTAAGATACAATTTTGAATTATTTGCCTATTAAAGAGAAGATGAAATGCTGAACAATTTCCTTGCATACTGTATGCAGGCCCGATTTTTAGTTTCTGAGATATTTTAATCCATATGTAAAAACATTTCAATTAGCCGACTTTACCCGAGCGTTAACACATTAGAAATCTGACGGATCAATCTAATTCACTCTCCACAAAAAAGTACAAAGAAGTTTTCACTTAAAAAAATCTTTTAATAAAAAATAAAAATAAATGAATAGTTCCAATTGAGATATATTAACATTGTTTTGGACTAAGGTGGATATAGATATAGTTTTCTGTTTGAAATGGTCAAAATAGAAAGGGTTAAACATTGAAATATAACTTATGTATTTTGACTAACTTTTGTAAAAAAAAATCTCAATTATTTTTATTTTTTTAATGGTTATTTTATGAGAAAATAGTTTGTGGTGGTGAAAATAAAAAATTCATAGCATAACCCAGGGGTCTCCAAACTATGGTCTGCCAGTATTTCCAATCCAGCCTGGGAAAGTTTCTTTGATTACAAAATTTAAAAAACTAATTTAAAAAATATGAACTTTAGCAAATTACTCACAAAAGAGGTTACTGCAACATTCGTTGCATGTTTTTTATCTCTAAGAAAGCTCCTTTCACAATTGAACTGTCATTTATAGAACAAGGTTTTTTTTTTTTTTCGAAAGCTATAGTTCGTGGGACTTAGTGGAGGTCTCCATGAGGCCAAAAAGTTTGGAGTTTCCCGGCATAATCTGTTGCCTAAAATAAGTTGAGTAAAAGAACAAAAACCAAATATGAATGCTAGACTTATGTTTTTTCAATGGTCAGCATCATTTATACTGATTTTTATTTTATCTTTGTCAAAAAAACAGCAACTTTTAAATTTATTTTAGGCTATGGGATAACGTTTGTTCCGGAACTCTATATATTAAAAATATAATAAATAAATAACAGACATATTTATTTTCTACAATTAGAATGTTCAACCTATTTTTTCAACATGTTTAAAAATGTTTTACATTTTTTTTCAGAACACCAGCCTTCCGTCAACACCTGCGAAATGATCAACTGATAAAACAAAATGGATTTTATACAAAAATATTCTCTGTTATAATAAAAATAAATAAATTATTGGAATTGTTGTGTTATTATGAGTTGTTAATTATTCAATTCAAATAAAATATATTTGAATTATAAAAAAAAATTAATATTTCCCAATTATTACTTATTTTTTATATTATCAATATAAAAGTTTTTATATGAAATCATATTCATTTTATGAATGGAATAATTGTAGCCTTAGGCTTGCTTAAAATTAAACCATTGTTTGACTTTGCTGACCCACGAGAAACATGTAAGGAAATATATTATAATCTTTGAATAAAAATATAATTTCATATTTTAAGTAGACATTTTATTGAAAGAAATGGTTTTGTTAATTTTAGTATTGAAGAGTATAGTTACTATTATGCTTATTCTTAAAATGAGAGTTAAAATATATTTTTTTATATATTAAGCTACCTCTTGAATTTTGAGATCTTTTTATGTGAATAAGTATATCAAGAAATAAACAAAATTGTAGCCATTTTACTAATTCATAAAAAAGATATTCTAATGATGTAAGTAATGAACTTCTGATATAAGTGATGAAGTAGTCTATTATTGTTATTTATATGAAAAGCTTAAACTGACATAACTTTAAGCCATTCAATAGAATAGACAGCTAGCAGAAACAAAACATGAAAATAAAGATAGCTCCAGAAGATATACAACTTTTCGGTTGCTACCTGCGGAACACGATTTTAGGCAAACTAACTTAGATAATACATGCCTTTCCCATAAACATGAAGAGGTAGCAATACAAAGATTACAAACCGTTTTGAGTAATATAATTTTAAAAAGATTTTCAAATTCAAAGATTTTCTTTATTTGAAAGGATAAGCAGAATAAACTATTTTACAAATTAACCTCAGTAAGAAAATATTATATCTGAAAAATAATGTACTACCAATAGCTCTGTAAATGTTTTGATACCAAATTGAAAGAAAGTAAAGGTCATATTGATAGTTAAAACTTGCCAAATATATGTAGATAATGCTATGTTTCTACAAAACTACAAATTACAGCTACAATACATGGGAATTTTACTGCGGATAAATTCCGAATCTGCTTACAACTGTACATAATTTTTAAATTTATTATTCTTTCTGCAAAATAATTGAAATATGTTTTTATTTATCAATTAATAATTTTTGTACTCTCTCATATTTTATTGATGACATTCTCAGAACAAACAGTTTGATAAAACCACAAAATAAATTGTCTAAGGATTAGCACAATTTTATTCACTTTTATGAAAACATTTATATTTTTTAATATTACATAAAATGTATTGATAACTGCTATGCTGTATTGATAACTGATACAGTAAATATATATATATTTTTTTCAGTTTAAGTTTATCAATACTGTGGAACACAGGCAGTAATGAATTAAATATAATAAATACACATATATATTTTAAAATTTAGTGCCTGATAGTAAGGACTTATTTACAAATTACAATCAGATGAAGGATTTAGGAGCGATACACTTAAAATCTTAATTGTACGAGAACATTCATTCATCGATGTTGTTTTTATCCTAACTTACATCTACCAATCTGCAAATATTTTTTTTATCAACAATTTTTGAACATTTAAAGTACTGAATGCGTAAATTCCCCAAAACTATTAAAGCTTATTCTAAACATTGATTCTTAAATCTATACAGATCAATGTAACATCTAAATCACATCATTTCATAGATAAACTAATAAATTTGGCCATAGCAGAAAAAAAAAAAAAGACAAACAGTAAAAACATTTCCATTCAAGTTCCAATAATCAAATAATATTCAATAAAAGCTTCCAAAATAATTGAATTTATTTTAGAAAACAAGGAAATGAAAAAACAAAATGTTCCCCTGAAAAATTATTTTACCTCAAAAATGATTTTTGTAATATATAAATATTATGTTTCAAAATAAATATTATGATAAAAAATGTATGAAAAATGAAAAAAAAAGTTATACATACCTCCAAAACTTTTCAAAAGTAAATAGACTTTCAATAAAGAATATAATCTCCTCTTGAATAAAAGAATAATCTAAGCTATCTGTTATATTCAGTGTTGCCAACCAATTCACAGAATTGTCATTAATATTTTTTTTTTTTTTTTTTTTTATTTCAATGGAATTTACAACTGTATTACATAGAGAATACAATAAGTAAATGAGAAATTTGTAACATGGCATGTACAACATGAAGAGAAACTACCCATTGGTAGAACTCAAGTCATTAATATAAAATGCTAAACAAAATTAGATGTATTTATTTTTTTTTATAATTTAAATTTGTGTTATTATTTATATAAACAAATATTAAACAAATTTCACTATGTGACTTTGTGGTTGAATATCCTACAATAGTTTGTAATTTTCATCTCTGTGTGGTATTTATATAAATATTTTGAGTTTTAAAAGTTAAAATACAAAAATAAATCTTAATTAATAATTAAACGTTTATTTTTTAAAGAATTATAGGGTAATTTTTAGAAACAATAGCAAACTACAACTTTTTTACAGGTGGGTTCTAAGCAGTTGAGCCATAAATATTTTGTCTATTTCACTTTATCTCCTCCCCCCCCCCCCTGAAGAAAACTTAATAAATAAAACTATAAAGCTTTAACTTGTAGGCCACAAATTTAACATTTTGGTTTAATATTTGTTTCATCCACTAAATAAATTTTAATTTAAGAGGAAATACGCTTTTTATAACCAATATCCAATGAATGGGGTTAATGTTGTGTATTGCCCATTTTTTTTTCTGACTATGGCTAATTAATTAAATATGTATATAATATGTGTATAGACATAGTTTTGTATAATTATGGTGTGAAAAGTAATTTATTTACGTAAAAAATATATTTAAGACTAACAATTTCTTATTCACATATTTGTACATTATCTATTATACAGTGAAAATACGAGAAGTTGGAACAGAAACCACTTTAAAAAAAAATTTTAATAACATTTAGTGATTTCTTAACCTATCAACAGCTCTTGATGACTTTTGCATTTAAATGCGGTCGGGACTAACTATTTTTCCCTATATATATAATTTTTTTAAAAATTTTATTTCATATAATTTTTATACAAAATTGAACAGGTAGAATAAAATGTAATGTGCATTTCATAAAGAGAAGAAATTGCTTTAATTGTAAATATAATACAACTGTACAATATGTTTAGAAAGCGATTTTATAAAAACTTTACACTATCAATATATATTTCTTAAAATTTATTGAGTGGATTACATTGATTTTCGATATGAGAGAAAGTTTGAATATTTTCCAAAAAATATTTTCATTTCGACATCGTACTTATAAGATATAGTTTTATAGTAATTATTAACAGTGAGTCATTATAATTTTATAGTTAATTATAAATAAGCATGCTAATAAATAATACCATACAAAACAAAATGATATATTTTTCAAATATTTACATTAGTTTAATTTTAGAATAGAATTTCAGTACACATTCTTATTAACAATTTACAGATTTTATCCAACTCAATACCGAATACGGACAAACGAGATATGACAAGATATTTTATTAGTAAGATTTCTAAAAGTTTTTATGTGTGTTATTTATTTGTATGATATTTGATTTTTAGTCATAAGATATATAGATATTGATTATTATGGAATGATGAAATCCAAATTTTATGACACCAATGAAACGGAACATTCAAGCAACTAAAGTCAAAGATTTCAACAATGATTCTATTGTTGATAAAATTGTTTTCATGTCTCATTTGTCTTTCTCAGATAGTACTCCTGATTTATCAACAATATGTTACTCTACAACTACAACATATACCATTTCTAATTGGTGTTAATGATTTATCTACAAGGAAAAACTATTAAAATTTATTAATCAAGTGAAATAGTTATTGAATTTAAGTTTTTAAAAATCTAAAATTAAACTTCAATTTTGAAGAAGAGCAAACCAGATTAAACATTTCATTCAACAATTTTTGGACCAAAATATTGAAATTTTAACTCTTTTAATGGTAGTTTTAAAATAACAGAATTACTTACCGCCTTTGATTCAAATAATTAAACATAGTCTTAAATGATTCTAAAATAAAAGCCTTATAGTTAATAAGTAAAGAATTTTTATTTTGACAATTGAAGCATTGTAATTACATAATCATTATCTTTAATCAGGAGTGGATTGTATGGCATAGAAAGGGACTGTATGGCACAAATCGTACCTTCAAAATTTTAGAGGAGAGATACAATTTTTAAGGGATTTGAGGAGAAACATTTTGACAGGGTTAGGAATTTTTGGATGTCCATATGTCAAGAATGGCTTGCCTAGAGATCCCAAATTCTTCAGAAAAACACATGGGATAAGGAGGCTTGGAAGATCGAAGATATGATGGTAAGAGTGGCCCATGATTCCATAAGAATGAACTGTGAGGAACTGGAAGGCAGCGGCACACAACCGAGACGACTGGTCTAGATTGATTTGGGAGACCATGACTCATTAGTGGGTTGTAGTGCTTAGGAAGTAAATAAGGAAAGCATTTTTGCAGGGAATTATATATGGAGTTTCAATTTGAGTGAAACTTAAAAACCAGGGAATAAGGGGAAAAGACTAACAATTTATGATTTATCATTTTTCTAATTTATATTCCCTTGAACTTTTTTTAAGAAGAGTAATGAAACTTCTTGGAATTGAGGTGGGGTGTGCCATCAACCTTGAAGAGATGAGCGTCTCTGTTTTAAATAATATTGAATACAAGTGAATACTTGTGATTACAATACTTGAAATAATGTTTGTTTGGTGATGTGAGATGGGCTATGTTATTTAATCTAACTGAGGCTTTTATTTTTTAATCTTCCAAATATGAGCTGATTTCAAGTTTTAAATTACAGAATTTGAATGAAAATACAAATTAATACTATATTTCTTACTATTGCTTAGGAAGTGAATAAGGAAAGAATTTTTGCAGGGAATTATATATGGAGTTTCAATTTGAGTGAAACTTCAAAACCAGGCAATAAGGGGAAAAGACTAACAATTTGTGATTTATCATTTTTCTAATTTATATTCCCTTGCACTTTTTTTAAGAAGAGTAATGAAACTTCTTGGAATTGGGGTGGGGTGTGCCATCAAAGTTTTAAATTACAGAATTTGAATGAAAATACAAATTAATACTATATTTCTTACTATTGCTTAGGAAGTGAATAAGGAAAGAATTTTTGCAGGGAATTATATATGGAGTTTCAATTTGAGTGAAACTTCAAAACCAGGGAATAAGGGGAAAAGACTAACAATTTGTGATTTATTATTTTTCTAATTTATATTCCCTTGCACTTTTTTTAAGAAGAGTAATGAAACTTCTTGGAATTGGGGTGGGGTGTGCCATCAACCTTGAAGAGATGAGCGTCTCTGTTTTAAATAATATTGAATACAAGTGAATACTTGTGATTACAATACTTGAAATAATGTTTGTTTGGTGATGTGAGATGGGCTATGTTTTTTAATCTAACTGAGGCTTTTATTTTTTAATCTTCCAAATATGAGCTGATTTCAAGTTTTAAATTACAGAATTTGAATGAAAATACAAATTAATACTATAATAAGCTGTTGCAGGTGACTCATAAAATTCATGATGTCGTAATATTAAAGATATTAACAAGGACAGCACTTAGAGTGCTGTGGTGTTCAGGAGCTAAGACGGCTTCCTGGTGCAGCAGAGTGGATGTCAAATCTTTTCAGCATTGCTCAGAGTGTAGTGACTTGTAATAACAGAGTTCTGCCGATGGTGCTTCATGGAACTGCTTTTGTGTGTCATGGTGACATCGGTGCAAGGTGTATCGGAACGCTTACAGCACAACAGGTACCTGTTGAAGTACCTTCGGAATGCTTTGCTGACACAGTAGAGAGCGATAGGATTTATGCAAGAATTAATGAAACTCAAGCAGAAACCGACGATCCTGTATCCATGCCAGAATTCATTGTAATCCTCTTCAGCCGTAGGATAGAAGTGGAACCATAACATGAAAGTGTGATATGGAAAAAAGCATACGAAAAAAATTATAACGAAAGCGAGAACCATCTTCGCCACTTTCTTTCTAGCGTTTATCTGATTCGACTGGCCTTGCATTTCACCAGGCATATTCTTCGTACTTAGGACAAGGTGTCTAGCCATTAATATGTAGAAACCTGCAATGATGCAAAGAGGGCAAGCGTAATATGCGAGAAATTTGAACAAAACTATGGACTGTTTGTAGGGTGGTCCATATTGTGGAGGGAATGGAGAACAGTACTCGATAGTATGGTTGTCTGCGACTATGGCGATCTGGACGTTAGAGAAGATGGCGGCCGGCAGGGCTAGGATGAAGGACACGACCCAGATGACGAACGCCATTACGATGGTCAACGGCTTGGTGGATATGTGCCTGCGGATGGGGTTGACGATGGCGCAGTAGCGCTCAGCGCTGAGAGCCGTCAATGTGAAGACGGAGACTCCAATGGAAATGTCCTTGGTGGCCTCCGAGAGCTTGCAGACGAAGTCGCCATAGGGCCAGGACTCGATGGTGTAGAGCGTGGAGGTGAAGGGGAGACTGGTCACTATGACCAAGAGGTCACCCAAGGCCAGGCTCATGATGTAGGTATTGGGGATGTTGCGCATCTTGGTGTGCCTCACGAAGATGACCACCAGCGTGCCGTTCCCGAGGACCCCGACCAGGAAGATCACCGCGAAGAGGACGGGCACGAGGTAGGTCTCCAGGCGCTCTGAGTAGGGCACGTACTCTCCGCACTCCGTGCAGTTGTCCATCGTGAAGCGTATCTCCTCTCTAGTAACCTGAACAGTGAAGCATAACTTTGAAAAATTTATGTATAAGTCTAATCAAAACAGTAAGGATGATATTAGTAAGTAAATTAAATACGTTAGGTTTCTGCCTTTTAATAATAATTAAAACATATTTGCTAAGAATTTGGTCTTATTCTATCTTTGCATTCAATAAAATTACGAGAAGCCATAAAATATACCTTAAAATGGAAGAGAGAAATATACTTTTTAATTCTAAAAAAAAAATAACCAAAAAACATACTAAAAATCTAGTATAGCCTAAAACTGAGGAAGGGTAGAAATATTTGTATATATATAAAACAATTACAAATAATATTGAATGCTAAAGGTCACATAATTTTTATTCGGCATTTATACTTATAATAAAGACTTACTTAATTTGTTTTATTTTCTTGCGAAAAACAATTTTCACATGCGACCTTTTGCAATAATAGTAGCGCTATACATTTTAATGTATTATTAAATGGTTATTCAATTTATAAAAGTATTTATACAGTAATTGGGTGTATGTTGAAGTTATTATTATTCATATTACCACCATCAAAGAACGAAAAACACTAATTAACAAGCACGCCCACTGCTTCACTGTACCCACAGAAGGAAAAAAGGTCTCGTGTATTAATGAGATATATTCCAAGTTTTTTAAAGATTATTTTTTGAATAAACTAAAATAGCCATAAAAAAGAAACATGGTAAAAACCACTTATAGCCTAAAATACGAGGAAGAGGAGAAATATTTATATAATAATAATAATCTTTTATTTATTCTGAGACAAATCCCTTTAGAATAATTAACAGAAATGTGGGCTTTTGAGCCTCAGATATATATAAATGTATTTACAAAGTTAACTAATAGATATAATAGAGAGAGAGAGAAAAAAAGGTATCTTCTAGATTAAATCAATTAAGAAAAAAAATAACTAAAAGAAAAATGAGATAAAAATAATAAACTAATAATATATACACATATTTACAGAAGTTTCTATTTACAATTTTAGAGGGACTGGATGAAAAGAAAGTGATTGAATAGCCGGGATTTAAAAGTAAGGAGATGTCGGGATGGATGGAGTTCCACAGGGATGAGGATCGAATAATAAAAGATTTATCGAAAGCAGCGGTTCGGTGGGCTATTATATATAAATCTGAAGACCGGGAAGGGGTCTATCTATCTATCTATCTATATATATATATATATATATATATATATATATATATATATATATATAAACTATGTGACCGTTGATATTCCATTCTATAAAGTAATTACAAATAGAATGGAATGTCAACGGTCACATAGTTTTCAGCATTTATACTTATAGTAAAGACTTAATTAATTTTTTGCTATTTTGTAAAAAAAAAAAATAACATACGACCTTTTGCATTAACAGTAGCAGCGCTATACATTTTAATGTATTATTAAATAGTTATTTATTTTATAAAAGAATATATACAATAATTTGGTGTATGTTGAAGTTATTATTATTTTTTTATTAACAGCATCCAAAAAAGAAAAAAAAAACCAACAAGCCACCACACCCGCTGCTTGACTCATAACCAATATTTGTTCCCACAGAAAGTAAAAAAGTCTAGTGTATTAAAGAGATATGTTCCAAGATTTTTTTTTTTTTTTTTTAATAGACTATAATAACCATAAATAAGAAAACGATTATCTTATCTAACTGCGGTAATATGACACCACTCAAGTACCATTTCAGATAATTGGACATATCTCAAGACTTGATGTTGAAGTTGAAGTCGAACTGCTGTTGCAGAAGCTGTGTATATTACCTTTTTACGGCCCTTCACAATTGGATTGCCACTCTTGGGCCCTATATCCCTTTGCAATTATTATACAAGAAGGGCGTTGTAAACGGAAATACAATTTAACTCTTGATGCTCCCAGACGTAATCGTAAAATGCATTGTTTCCATTCACTTTTATTGTATCTGTTACATTGGTGTTTCATGATAAGTAAGAGCTTGTATTAATATTATACATATACAATTTTAATTACTAACTATACTAAAAATATTAATTCATTCTGATATCTATTCTTGTCTCCGTTTACCTAATAGTTCGTGATAAAGACCCCTTTTTATGAAATTATTAACATTCATCTAAAACCTCTTGAATGGTTTCATCTTATCCTAACATACAAATTGTTACATACATCTTCAAATATTATCAAAAATGGGTCGTTTTATGTTAAAAATTAATTAATTTAATAAAGGAGTAAATATTCATGAATACAAATTTGATTTCCACTTGAACCGTATAGCAGACCCTACACGGTAATTCATGAATGAACGTCACAAGAAGTTCCAAGATTGCCTGTTATCGCTTTGATCATGAAGAGCCTTAAGCAGACCCTACACGGTAATTCATGAATGAACGTCACAAGAAGTTCCAAGATTGCCCGTTATCGCTTTGATCATGAAGAGCCTTAAGCAGACCCTACACGGTAATTCATGAATGAACGTCACAAGAAGTTCCAAGATTGCCTGTTATCGCTTTGATCATGAAGAGCCTTAAGCAGACCCTACACGGTAATTCATGAATGAACGTCACAAGAAGTTCCAAGATTGCCTGTTATCGCTTTGATCATGAAGAGCCTTAAGCAGACCCTACACGGTAATTCATGAATGAACGTCACAAGAAGTTCCAAGATTGCCCGTTATCGCTTTGATCATGAAGAGCCTTAAGCAGACCCTACACGGTAATTCATGAATGAACGTCACAAGAAGTTCCAAGATTGCCTGTTATCGCTTTGATCATGAAGAGCCTTAAGCAGACCCTACACGGTAATTCATGAATGAACGTCACAAGAAGTTCCAAGATTGCCCGTTATCGCTTTGATCATGAAGAGCCTTAAGCAGACCCAACACGGTAATTCATGAATGAACGTCACAAGAAGTTCCAAGATTGCCCGTTATCGCTTTGATCATGAAGAGCCTTAAGCAGACCCTACACGGTAATTCATGAATGAACGTCACAAGAAGTTCCAAGATTGCCCGTTATCGCTTTGATCATGAAGAGCCTTAAGCAGACCCTACACGGTAATTCATGAATGAACGTCACAAGAAGTTCCAAGATTGCCCGTTATCGCTTTGATCATGAAGAGCCTTAAGCAGACCCTACACGGTAATTCATGAATGAACGTCACAAGAAGTTCCAAGATTGCCCGTTATCGCTTTGATCATGAAGAGCCTTAAGCAGACCCTACACGGTAATTCATGAATGAACGTCACAAGAAGTTCCAAGATTGCCTGTTATCGCTTTGATCATGAAGAGCCTTAAGCAGACCCTACACGGTAATTCATGAATGAACGTCACAAGAAGTTCCAAGATTGCCCGTTATCGCTTTGATCATGAAGAACCTTAAGCAGACCCTACACGGTAATTCATGAATGAACGTCACAAGAAGTTCCAAGATTGCCTGTTATCGCTTTGATCATGAAGAGCCTTAAGCAGACCCTACACGGTAATTCATGAATGAACGTCACAAGAAGTTCCAAGATTGCCCGTTATCGCTTTGATCATGAAGAACCTTAAGCAGACCCTACACGGTAATTCATGAATGAACGTCACAAGAAGTTCCAAGATTGCCTGTTATCGCTTTGATCATGAAGAGCCTTAAGCAGACCCTACACGGTAATTCATGAATGAACGTCACAAGAAGTTCCAAGATTGCCTGTTATCGCTTTGATCATGAAGAGCCTTAAGCAGACCCTACACGGTAATTCATGAATGAACGTCACAAGAAGTTCCAAGATTGCCCGTTATCGCTTTGATCATGAAGAGCCTTAAGCAGACCCTACACGGTAATTCATGAATGAACGTCACAAGAAGTTCCAAGATTGCCCGTTATCGCTTTGATCATGAAGAGCCTTAAGCAGACCCTACACGGTAATTCATGAATGAACGTCACAAGAAGTTCCAAGATTGCCTGTTATCGCTTTGATCATGAAGAGCCTTAAGCAGACCCTACACGGTAATTCATGAATGAACGTCACAAGAAGTTCCAAGATTGTCCGCTATCGCTTTGATCATGAAGACCTCTACACGTTCAATCATTACTGTTCATTACTTATCGTTGCCGATACCAATTTAGCTCAGTTGTAAACAAATAAACAGCATAGATATGCTTATATGGACATTGCCATTTATAATATTGGGCATCAAGAGAAAAACGGAGATATAATAATTACTTCCGTTTAGACGAAAATCGTTTAGACCAAAGTTAGAATAATATAAGTCAACTACATACAAAAATTGAGGAAAGGTATTGCGAAAATAATAAATTTGTTGAGGAAAATGGGAAAAGAACTGATAAATATACACAACGTTAAAGTTTTTTTTTTTCTCAAAGTGAATTGTGAAGTTTCCTAGTTTTTTATTTTAATTTGTTGCCCACTTGACTATTTAAAAGAAATAGTTGAAGATGGTTTATAAAATATAAACAAGAAATATGAAAAATTATTTAACTATTTACATATAATAAAAATCAGAAATTTATAATGGTTATGAGGCCTAGGCAACCTAACCTATCCAGCAGTATGGTTAGTCTCCCCCCTGCTTTTACCTCAGTCCCCCCTCCACTTCTAGTGAATGAACCTTTGATTTCCGGATGTTTGGAAATCCGCAGCGCACCACCATCAGTACTTCATTCAATACCTTACACGACAATTCGGAACGTCATTAGTGCAATTCCGATTGACCGTGTAGGGTCCCCTTTATGTTTACGATTTTTTTTGTTACATTTACAGATGTTCCACTGAATATTATAATTTTGTACAATAAAATTGCATGCTAACCAACGATATTTATAAAAACAAAGTTTTATAGTTTTAAAAATAATTATATTAGTTTATGGGTGATAAATATTCAGAACGCAGTCTTTTTTAAAAAAAAATTATTTTTGCCAACGTTTCAACCCAAACATGTGGGTCATCTTCAGGGCTTGGTTTGAGCACTGAGGTTATTCATGTACTCCCAGTCCATGTAGTCCATGTAGAGTACATGAACAACCTCAGTGCTCAAACCAAGCCCTGAAGATGACCCACATGTTTGGGTTGAAACGTTGGCAAAAATAAAATTTTTTTTAAAAAAGACTGCTTCCTGAATATTTATCACCCATGATATGTAGAACAGTCGACTAACTACCTTTAAATATATTAGTTTAATCTGAAAATAGTTAATTTATTATTAATTAGCCGATTAGAAACTAGATTAAAAACGCTGCTAATTATTTCACAATGGTTTATTATTTCCAAACAATTATACATCTAAAGTAACATTACCTTCCGAGTTACAAAGAAAAATAAATAAAAGGTGATTCCAATTATTGGACTAAACTTTTTTTTTTTAATCATTAGTAACATGCTAAATAAAATGGCGTTACTTCAGTAACACATTCAAAATTCAAAAACCAAAACAAAGGATATAACTTCTGCAGTAGAACATATAAAAAATTTTTTTTATTTTTTTTTTTATGGAATTCCGTAAACTTTTAAAAAACTATATCGACAAAAAAGTGTATACTTCTTAAGTTATTCGGAATCTAATTTTACCATCCCTCGTAACTTTTTTTCCAGCTTCTTTTCGTTGAAGTATGTTATATACATAAATTTAAAGGGCGTCGAGTAAATGACTTTAGCCAAGTTTCAATGAAATTGGTACATTCGTTTAGGTGCTGTAGTCTGCAACAACGCAGGTTTTTCGGCCACCATTTTGAAAATAAAACGCGGATAGAAATTTCCATGAAGGAGGATCATCCTCGGATGACTTCTGATTTTATATCCAAATTTGAAAAAAAATCGGTAGAGTAGTTTCGGAGAAAATGCGTGGACGGCGGACGGACAAAAATTTTTTTATTCGTTTTTCGAATTCTACGTATCCTTAAATGTAAAACCACAAATTTTAAGAAGGGGTTAAGTTTTTGAATTTTTTGGTCGATTACAATGGTTCATTATTGAAAATAATAAACCCAAAACAGTTAATAATACTCTATTATAGAGTATGTTATGTTTACAAAAAAAGACAGATATTTGAGCATTTTAGTTATAAATTATCATAAAAAAACTAAGTTTGATTACACAATGTATATTTGGTTTACCTCCGTAATTTTCTTGATTAGTACATGATTAATAGTCCCCAATGTTCAACTTTCTTCTTCGATACCATGTTTCCTGAAAAATACAATAACATATCAGATCCATGGTAAATAGTTATGTTTGAAGACTCTATATCATTGTAACATTACATTACTGTGGCCATTTACTAATGTTTATTTACATGTATAGTGAAAGCATATAGTAGTATACTGGAGAAGAGGGAGCGATGATTAAGATAAAAAACCAAGAGAGGGAAACGTCGATGCGGTTTTAAGTCCATTTTTAAAAGTGCACTTACGAAGTCGTTAGTCAAATTGTATCGCTTTAGTCTCCAATATTCATCGCGGAGCGTCGAAGATTCTTCACTAACACCAGAGAAGTTTGAGGTCGTCGATTTAGACCTCTTTGCGATACTTCTCTACAATCATCTGCCAGGACTTTACCAACAATATTTTCTACTTTAATTTATCTATATAATTATAATAATGATAATAATATTTAATTTATTCTGGGACGAGTTCCTTCAGAATACTACAGAAAGACATTAATATGGACTAAGGAACCTCAGAGATACATAAATAAAAATACAGTGATTAAACAGTCATATTAAAAAAAATAAATAAATAAATATATATATATATATATATATATATATATATATATTTATTTATTTATTTTTTTTATAAATTATATATATATATATATATATATATATATATATAAGTTACTTTCTAATTTTAATCAGTTAATAATAAAAAAGGATGAAGTATATATATATATATATATATATATATATATATATATATATATATATAGATAAAATATATAGTAAGGGAAAGTATTATGATCGTGAACATTTTCGAATCTGAGTTTTCAATGGAAATACATGTATTGAGGCCCTCCAAGTCCAAATAACCAAGTCCGCAAAATAGTCTGTTTGTGTAAGAACAGCCTAGCTCAAAAAAAAAAAAAAAAAAAAAATCGTACGAAACTGAAATTGCATATTCAAGGTTTATATATAGCTCGGATGTGACAACTTTTTTGTTAAAATCTGTTAACCGGAATTGTCAATTTGTATTTTCGAGTTTAGACATTTTTACGATTTTCTCAAAAGAAGCTTTAACGTTTTTGGTTATATTCATTACTACAGTGTAAAATTAAATGATTTTTAATATAATAATAATAATATTTTATTTATCTTGGGACATGTCTCTTTAGAATAATATAGGAAGACAGTAATGTGGGCCAAGGAGCCTCAGAGATATATAAAAAAAAAATACAGAGTAATTAAATAGTCATAATAAAAAAAATATAAGTTACTTTCTAACTAAAATCAGTTTATAATAAAAAAATTGAATGCAATTTATCAAACGTTTTAGTTTCGCCTCGAGATTCCCAGAGAAGCTATACCGTATTGGCTATTTCTATATACCGTATAGAAATAGCCAAAGTGGGGAAAAATTAAGGAAGTGACTAGGAGGTTACGGGTTTAAAAGGGAAATAGGAGACGGGAGTAATTTAGACGTTTAAAGTTAAAAATGGTACGACTGGAGATATTGGATGTGTGGTTTTTACAGTAAAGCTTTTGATCAAAGGTTATTCCAAGGTTTGATATAAGGATAAAATTTGATGGGATTATCATGTAGAAACAGAGTTAGAATATTAGGAACGTATATCATTAAGTATGTCTAATTCTCATTGATATTCACTATTAGCGCTTGAGTGTCTAATTTTCAAAATTTCTACATCTTAAGTACTTTTAATTTTTATTATTTGAAATAATTAATCATTTTACATTAGAAACTGATATATAAAATGGTTAAATATGAAATATGAAGCAATGAACATTTAGTAGTTTATTGAATTAGTAATTTTTTTTTTTTATATTTGGGTTTTATACAACTTAAAGAGTCATATCCCCAAACTCAAAAGCCACTGCTCCCTGTCCATCCAATCTCCTTCAAGAAGCCCTCTGGCTGCCATGCTTTCCTCCACGTCCTCTATCCATTTCTTCTTTGACCTTCCACGCTTCCTTCTTCCAGGTGGCATATATGTATAAATTTTCTTTGGCCAGCGGTTCTCATCCATCCGCATTAAATGGCCATACCACTTTAATCTTTTGGTCACGATCAGGTGAAGGATGTTCTTTTGACATCCGACCTTGTCTCTAATAGCTGCGTTTGGGATCCGCTCGATTCTGGATATGCCACAGCTTCTTCTCCAGAAATCCATTTCCATGGAAAGCAACTTATTTTCCATCTTTTTTGTCAGTGTCCAAACTTCTGATCCGTAAGTGGCTACGCTTTCTACAATGGAATGGTATATCTTCTTTTTAGTTTCTAATCTTATTTCTTTACTCCATAGGATTGAATTTATCGAACTTATTATTCTTTTCCCATTATTTATTTTATGTTCGATATCAACCTCACTACCTCCCTTTGAAGATAACCAGTATCCGAGGTACTTCAACTGCTGGCTGACATAAGTAATAAGTGACCTTATTCCCAATTAAATTATTATGTTTAAATTTAATACTCAAAGGTCGATTAAAGAAAAGGCGTAAATATCTATAATAAAAATAAATAAAAGAGTAATAATAATAAAAAATAAATAAATAAAATAAGGGGAAAAAAGGTAATATACATATATGTAAAGGGAACCAAAATAAATAAAAGAAAAGATAAATATAAATTATTATTATAGCTCTTTCATTAAATTTATCTTTGTTACAAATTTTATTATTTTGTCAGTTCTATTGCTGTCGTTTCCAAAGGCTAGTGATATATTTTGTGATATTTCTAAGTCATTTAATTCACATTGATACATAACTGTGTTACATTTGATATATAACTGTTTGGAAATAATAAACTATTGTGTAATAATTTGCAGATTATTTTAGACGTCATTAGTTCAAAAGTTTTGAAATATCTGTATCCTTTTTTTTTAAACGTTTTTAGAAAATAGCAGAAACCGTAACGGAAAATTAACAGTTTTACCCGTAACAGTTATGATTTCCTCGACTACATCGACTTATTAATCAATTAATGCTGTTTAATTACACTTTTTCATCCTAAGTAGGAGGATTTGGAAGGACCCGCAGCTTTATGCCCTGGCAGGGATCTAAGTCCCCTTAATCGCCTCTTGCAGGGACCCCTGCCATTACACCTCTAAGCGCTAAGTATTTGTCTGAAACCATTTTAAGGCATTATCCGGTTTAACTCAAACCAGATTTTAGAAAAAAAATCTTAATACAAGGTCAAAATATTCTATTATGTGATTAAATTTGGAAAAAAATCTTAAGATAAGGTGAAAACATTACCATTATAAGATGTTGACAACATATTATACATAATTGAATAGATGTATGGTTGGGATGTCAGTAAAAATTAAAAAAAAATAGTAAAAATAAATAATTATATTTATTTTTATATTTGCCGAAGTTTCGGCCCTTAACCATCCTTCTGAACCATCCGAACCCTCTTGTTTCCAACCTTGCTTCCTCTTCTATCCCTGATAATCCTCCGAGGCGTCTGAATTGAAGATGGCCTCAGGATCTTCTATTATAGAAATGTAATTGGAGTGCAACTAATGGGTAGGTTCTCTTCATGTTTTACATGTCATGTTGTTAGTTGTTTCAAATTTACTTGTTGTATTTATCATTTATACAATCTTAAATTTCAATAATAAAAAAAATAAAATAAAATTCTTTATTATCCAATTTTATAGTTTCTAATACCTATTGTTATCTGGTTCTTTTCTTAGCCCCAATGAAGACTTGAACTTCGGGCTGAAACGTCAGCAAATATAAAAATAAATATAATAATTTACTTCTATTTTGACTGATCACCCGTAGTGTTGCCCAAAATTAGTCTTGGTCTTGCACTTTGCAAGACCAAGACCAAGGCTATCTAACTATTGCAAGACCATGACTAGGATTAGTAAAAAAAATCGATGTTTTAAATAAAAATTAAGGCAAAATAGTTACTAATACTTGACAATTTTAGTTACTATACGTTAATAATTGGTATAACCAATATACTTTTGCATTTAACTCATCTAATATTTCATTTGGACTTAGTTAAGTTTCTTCTATCTAAAAAATTGCAGTAATATTTTTACAGAAATAAGCTAATAAGTAACTGTAAGACTGTTGTGAGAGTCTTGAGCAAGACCAAGACCAAGATCAAAACTGAATTTGCAAGACTAAGACTCCTCTCGGTCTCGTATTTGGGCAACACTAATCACCCTAACCATCGTTCTTTACAATTATTCACTACAGTCAACCGTCAATCCAGAATCATATTATACATAATATGTTTAATAATAATAAGTATTCTAACGGAATAAAACATATTGCATATTTTACACAAAGAAAGAAAGAAAGTTAATTTCTTTGCTAAAATTCTGGGACGTTTAGTTCCCTAAGAATAACAAACATGTACAATGACAATTACATTATAACATTGTTATTCTGGCACATAATGGATGACAAATAATAATTACGTTACAAAGTTGTGTAATATTAAAATAAAAATTGCTATTATAAATATGCGTATAATATGATGAAATTATAGGTAAAATGATATTTGTGTTTAGATATTTGCACTGTAAGCAATTTAAATAATAGTTTTGGATTAACAGTAGAATCAAAGTGATAATGTATCTAATTCTTATAAATATTCGGAAGATTGTTGGCTGAGGAGATTGAAAGGGAAAGAAACGCTTTGTTTTTAAATGAAGTAAATGATGAGGTTTTGCTTACGAAGGGTAAGGAATTCCAAAACAAGTTTTTTTTCAAAACAAACTGTTTTATGAGAAGGAATATACAGGTTTGTGCCCTGGAATCTCGTGTTGAAAGAATGGACAGAGAAACATGAATGGACAAGCCAAGAAGGTAAGATTACGTTATGACTTTATTACCTTCACTTTATAAATTCGTGAGTCTTATTACATAAATCTCTAACTTTGTTACCGTTATCTTATAACCTAACTTCGCTACTGCTATTTCACATTTACTTTATACTTCCTTAATTTATATATCATGTACGGTATCTCGGACTATACCTGGACAAAAA